TGACCTGCCACCTCTCCGGTTTTCTTTAGCTGCACGTAGGTTCTACGCATGGGAACCAGGCGCTAGGCAGGTGCAGTGGGTTGGTCAAAGACCATGGTTGAGATACGAGAGGTGCCCGGTTCAAGTCCTGCTGGGGAGCGTTTTTCCAGCCGTGCTGCTACCCTTGTTCCAGTCGTTGTGAGACTTACGGTCAACTTTGCTAATAACGACTGAGGATGTAACGACAGTTCGCGAATAACGACAGAATTTCCATGCCCAGAGCAAAGTCCCATCTAGCTGTAATACATATAATGAGACTTCTGCGATAATTACACTTTGCGAATAAAGGCACTTTTCTGATGCCCCGCAGAGTGTCGTTATACGCAAAGTTGACTGTATCCCCTCACCGTTAGGCACTGCACCTCCCACTGGGTTTACCTGGGTTTACCTGGGCTTACCTGGGTTTACCTTGTGTTAGCGGCTGTTGTGAGTTCCATTCGGGGACGGACACGATAATTGTATTTCCGCGTGGGTGTGCATGTCGGCTTAGATGACGAGGAAACGGGGATTTCCCATTGCAGGATTTGAATTCTCTCCTCCACTGTTCTCTTCCGGTATACTGATTGATGTTTACAGGAGAGAGTCGTTCGCCAGGTTTGGGAACCGAAACAGTTTGCCGCTGCTGTTCGACGGCAACTGGAGGAAGAGGAACGAAATGACCAGGAACTGCAAGACATGCGGGTGGGCTGAGGAATACACTGCTATTTTAATTAGGGCTCAAACGATTAGTCCAATTAACAGGTTGCAGACCGGTTACGAAGAATTAACGGTTAACCGATAAAGATAACGGTTACGCAGTAACTTTTCAGTCAATTTTTCAAGTGTCAGGTCGTTGCAAAGTGTGCACTTTCGCGGGCTGTCGCACGCGTACGCAATTTCTGGGCTGTCAACTCGGTCATATCTGGTCTCTTGGTGTGAGAGTATGTATGAATGAGCATGCAAGAGAATGTACAAGTGTGCGTTGTACTGAATAGGGTACATTTTTGAATGAGTATAGTCAAATATACGGTTAAAAAAGAGTCCGCAGGATTGCCGTGGCTTATAGGTTATAACCGGTTAACCGACCGTTAGCTTAGCAGTTAACCGTCAGGGGTAAAACCGTGACCGTTTGAGCCCTAATTTTAATATCAATTTATTCAACTGATGAATATTGATTTATAAGAAAGGCGTTTGCTCCTCACATCTGAGCTCGTGCCTTCCCACCGGCTTGACTTGACACTTGACTGTCTGACTGCAATCCAGCGCACATGAGAAGTCCATCGAACCTTCCGCTCACCAAGCCTGCAGGAAAGCACCACTCCTTGCTCAAGAGTCAAATCGACGGGGGAAAAAATGGCTGACCTCCGGCAGTGTGGGGAGCGAACACCGTTTCTTATGAAATCATCGCCGGAGTCGCTACCACTGTCTCGTAATGTTAAATTTAAAACCAGAATTCTGATATAGCCAGAATGCACTTGTGTGAACATGGGAATACGCGAACACATGTACATGATAGTACAGATTGAGCACAGTCATGTTCATTTACTTCAGTATGTGCAGAACGTCAAATGCAAATCACGCATTGTCCATTTACGCCATTCCCTGAGGATCGCATGTGCCATTGCCCTTACCCTCCAACATGGAAGATTCAGCATGTCTGCTAAGGGGTTAGCTATCACACACCGTGATTATGATCGTCTTGTACTCAGTGTGTGCGCAGGTTTGTCGGTCTTGGGGTGATGTTTATACGGTTACTCGCGGTTCAGAGGATAACCATTGATGTGTGTCGCTATCGCATTGCATGAGCAAGACTAGATGGGAATTGCTGAGATGAAGACCTGAATGTACATGTATATGTACTTGAACACCCACCGATACCTCACCTGCCATGTGCGCCGACATGGCCAGTACCATCCTCATGCCGCCAGATGAACTTAGGGGTGAAACGAGTGCAAGAATTGAGGACTCGAGTACTCTTTGAAAGAACAAGCGAGTATTCGAGCGAGTACGAGTATTTTCTGACAACATTTTAAGCAATGTACTGCACCCACCCTCGTAACGCCGAACATGCCACATGCACCTGCTACACAGTAGCTTTGCATGAAGCCTAGTGCAGGAAATGTAGTCTGAACTACTGTCTTTTGCTGGTATAAAGTAGGGACAAGCAATAATTTCGCGCTTGCATAGGCTATCAGTACCGGTTAGAGTAACAGAAGGGCTTGATGTACATGATGTACATCAGGGGCGGATCCAGGGATTCCGCGGAACCCCTAAATTTCGTAAATGTACTACTGGCAACCATATGCGTGTCCATGTACATGTATCAGCTATTCAGTTTTGACTGTACTGGAACCCCCCCGTAGAGATCGCTGGATCCGCCGCTGTACATACATACTGTACACTGCACATTGGATGCTACGAGCATTTTGCGAAACGAGTACTCGCTCATTTCAAATTACCGAGCGAGCTCGATATACTCGTTTCACCCCTTCTAATGATTGCCTGACGATTGTGAATGCATGAAACTCAGAGTAGCGATTAACTAGCCTTGATTGCCCTTGTTCTTCTGTGTACTGTAGTTGAACACGTAACGTTGGCAGGGTCGACTGCTCATTCGCATAGCATAATATGCCGTCTCTTCTAGCAAGGTGTAGGCAAGAGTAAAAATAAAGCTTTTGGCTCTTGTCATAGGCGTGGGGAAAGTTAATCTTGTGATTCTACTTGTGTTAAACCTTGTGTCCCCGACCGCGAAGCTACAAGCTTGCCTGGACCGGATCTTGCAGTATTCGTTGAGCAAGAGAGATGGGCGCCTCAGCAGGGACACCTTTCCCGGCCTGATGACCATGCACGACTATGGTCCGCTGCGCATTGCCGTGCTGGGAAGGCCTGGAGTGGGAAGGAGTCACACAGCCAACAATATCCTTGAACTACTGGGCGAGGATCCAACGGAAGGGGTGAGTGCAAAGTTGTTGTTCTAGCATTACTCATGCAGTTGTATGCATGTCCCTGTATGACATATTCAAGTGTAAGGTCAACGGAGACTCGGCTAGAGTCCATTCATTGGAAACTGGCACCCTAACGTTTTGGTGTCTCCCACATATAGTTGCGGGTTTAGTGAAAATAACAGTGCATCCTGCATTGTGTGACCCGTGCAATTACTCCTTGCCACATTTGAGGCCAAAAAAGTTCAAGAACAGAGAAATAGAAATTCAGCCAGGTTATACAAAATTAGGACAGGTATACCATAGAAAAATGTATTGAGAAGCAGATCCAAAACCCAGATTTTTGAGATTTAAAGTGGGTTTTTGATCCTCAATTCGGATCCGACTTTCAAAAGCCAGCGGGACTGTTTTTTCGATGAATGGACTGTAGAGTTGGGATGAATATGCAGGAAATGTACCAGAAAAAGTAACAACTTTTTGCCTGTTTTCTGCCCAAATAATAATTAATTATCCTCCAAGAGCTAACCATGTGCTGGCCTATTTGTCCCTAATAGGTGTACAGCGCAGGCGAGGGAAGCTGCAGAGTTCGTGATGCGCCAATCTACAATGCAGCCGGGCATAGTCCAGCCATCATGCTGCGCACTAGTCGCGGTAGTGGCGAGACGTGGGGCAGAGACAGTGCGATATGTATGATGGAAGCTGTGCTCAGCAACAAACTGCATGCCGGTGATGAGTGCTACATGGAGTATATTCGCCATAACGACAGCAGTCCCATGGCCAACCAATGCCATGCAGCTATGTTCTTTACATGTCTTCACCACCTTTCTGAGAACGTCAGACCTGGTGACCTTACTGAGCAGATGTTCTGGTCCAGATTCCGTCCTCTCTTCTCCAGATTGGGTATGTACAGGTGTATAAGACAAAGTGATGCCGTATGCCAGGGATAGCCAAGATCTATCTCTTTTTGTTAGCATGTGTGCTTGTGTGTGTGTGTGTGTGTGTGTGCGTGCGTGCGTGCGTCTGTGTGTGTGTGTGTGTGTGTGTGTGTGTGTGTGTGTGTGTGTGTGTGTGTGTGTGTGTGCATGTGGGTGGGTGTGCGTATGTGTGTGGTTGAACGTTGGCGGTCTGTTCTCGCTGATCGTGACCAAGACATTGGAATCCAGTTTCACTATCGCTTGGATGGCCAGTTATTCAACCCAGCACGACGAACCCGTACCTATCAGCAGACCGCTGTTGTTGATGTTGAGTATGCGGATGATGCAAACTTTGTAGTTGGTTTGCGGGAGCATGCTGTGTTGGCCTTGACGGGGTTCCAGGATGTTTCTGCTGAATTTGGCCTCACTGTGAGTATACCCAAGACCAAATTTATGGTGGCTGGTGTTGGTGTTACTTCAGTTGACACTGCTGGCATTCCGCTTCATGGACAGGTGGTGGAAAATGTTTCCTCCTTCGTTTATCTGGGTTCTGTCATCACTCCGGATGCGCGTTCTGCAGGAGACGTTTCGAGGCGTTTGTCACTCGCCTCGCGTGCCTTTGGATCGCTCCAGGATGTGTTTGCTAATCGTGATCTTTCACTCCATGTGAAGCGCCGATTGTATAACGCCTGTGTGATGACAGTGCTACTGTATGCTTCGGAGTGCTGGTGCCCTTTGCGGGGTGACCTCCGGCGCCTCGATAGCTTCCACCACCAATGCATCCGTAGCATCTTGTGTGTTTCGCGAACACAACAGTGGGAGGAACGCATCACCAATGAGCAGCTCCGAGAGATGTGGGGTGATCCATCGCTATTGTCCTCCCGGCTTCGGAAGCGGAGGCTTGCATGGCTTGGCCATGTGGCCCGCATGTCGGATGTTCGTGTGCCCAAGCAGCTGTTGTTTGGCTTCCTACCGTCGCCTCGACCTGCGTGTGGTCCCCGTCGTCGCTGGAGGGATGTGATTTCGGCTGATCTTTGGCACATCGGCATTGAACATCTGGCTTGGTATGGGATTGCTCAGGATCGGTCTGCCTGGCGGGTGTCTGCCGTTTGGCTGAGCCTCGGCGGTCCTTCCCATGACCAATCTCAACGGGTGGACTGTCTTATCCGCCACCGTTCGTTTCGTCGGCCAGGTGACAAAGCAAGACACAAGTGTAGCGCAGAGCGAAGTCCCTCCATCCAGGAGCAGCGTGGTGCTGTGCAGTGTGGTACATGCAGGAGGTGGTTTCACTCTCGTGGTGGCTTGTGTGTACATCATTGTTTGCCCCTGGAACCATCGGAAGCGTCCGCGCCAGCATCACCTATTCCGCTCAACGTCCCAGCTTCTCTCTTGTGTGTGACATGCAATCGGCAATTCAAGTCAGTGCCTGGCTTCAGACGTCACAAGTGCGACCGTGGCCATCGAGCAACCAAGTCTGATAGAGCGTCGTATGGTGTTCGCTGTTCTCGCTGCAACCGGTAGTTCCGTCGACAGAGTGACCCGAGTCGTCATCTCCGTTTCTGCTCCTGACAATGACTCTGGCTCCTTTCGGAGTGGTGTGGCCGTTGTGGCAACCGAGCTACAGTAGTAGTAGTAGTAGTAGTAGTAGTAGTAGTAGTAGTAGTAGTAGTAGTAGTAGTAGTAGTATGTGTGTGCGTGTCTGTGCGCTCACGCGCGCGCGCGTGTGTGTGTGTGTGTGTGTGTGTGTGTGTGTGTGTGTGTGTGTGTGTGTGTGTGTGAAAATTAGGTCACTTCAGGTGCATCAAAATTTTAAGCATTACTGCAAAGTGACCATGGCTGTTTGAGTGCTTGGACTTGGGAAAGTGATGTAAGAACTGGACTAAATATGCACCAATCAGGGGCGGATCCAGGGGGGTGCGAAGGGTGCAAATGAACCCGTCAGGATTTTTCCAAAAAAAAAAAAAAAAAAAGTAAGGCCAGGCCCAGGCTCGTTGTACTATACAGAACAGGGGCGGATCCAGGGGGGTGCGAAGGGTGCGAAGGGTGCAAAGGAACTGAACAGCCGCCCTGAATTCTGACTAGAGTTGACATTGTGTATATAGCATGTACATAGCATAATCTGTGTCTGACTGAGAATCATACCGGTAGCAGTCGTAAATTACTTGTAATTTTTGTTATTCAATGTGTAACTAATCATACTACTCATCTTGGTGCTATGTGTAATTATGATATTATACAGTAACACACATAACATACTATGTCTTTGGTTTACTACTGTAAAGAAAATATGTAAGTTTCATCCTCGCACCCCTCAGCTTTGGGGTCTGGATCCGCCCCTGCCAATTGCCAGAAAATGTCATACAAGTAACATGTACTAGTAACAGTTGGGAAAGGTGTGAGTTGCCAGTATGATGCAAGCCAGATATTGATTGATGGAAGAAGGATATATTTGCTATCACAGTATCACAGTGGATGAGAGTCATACTGTAGCTCAGTGGGTTAGAGCATTGCTCGCGAATAGCAAGGTCCCTGGTTCGAGTCCCTGTGGTTGACTGATGATTTTTTTTCGTATCTGTCTTGCAAGTGTTGAGTTTTGGAGAGAAAAGAGCAGTACGAGACATGTGGCCTCTATTTTCCTAAAACCCGTAAAAGGCTAAAACTGCACGAACAACTTGCACTTACGCTGTCATAGCAGAGATTTTCGTTGCACAAGCTGTGCGTCATTGCGTTCACTGTCTACTGGCTGACGAGGCCTCTAGGAGACTTCGTCGATCATGCAGACAGACTGTAGTGTTTGTTGTATGCCTGCATTGGATCCTGGTGTTTGTTGTATGCCTGCATTGGATTCTGGTCTTTGTTGTATGCCTGCATTGGATCCTGGTGTTTGTTGTATGCCTGCATTGGATCCTGGTGTTTATTGTATGCCTGCATTGGATCCTGGTGTTTATTGTATGCCTGCATTGGATCCTGGTATTTGTTGTATGCCTGCATTGGATCCTGGTGTTTGTTGTATGCCTGCATTGAATCCTGGTGTTTGTTGTATGCCTGCTTTGGATCCTGGTGTTTGTTGTATGCCTGCATTGGATCCTGGTGTTTGTTGTATGCCTGCATAAATTGGATCCTGGTGTTTGTTCTTTGCAGATATCACCCCTGTCACATTGGTCACAAAGATGAGATGTCTACATCGTGATGAGCTATGTGACGGTTGGAAATGCGTCACTCATGCCACCCAATTCTTGGGATCAGCGGAGAATCAAGTTTTTCCAATCGAGAATAAAGAGCCGACAGGCGATCCGGAGGCAGTGCGGAAGCGTCTTCGCCAGGAGCTGGTGCTGGCGTTGCTGGAAGTCATGTACCAGGCCGAGTACCGCGTCCATCGGCACGAGCTACGTGCCCTGCGTTACACCAGCACCGGTTATAACGCCACTGATATTCGAGGTGAGTGCACTGTATCGCCCGTGCCTGGGAAGGCCTTGGCGGATAATGCTCGAAAAGTACGGACATTGGCATAACCGTACAAAGCTAACGGGTGGTATTCACTTCCTTGCACTCTGCTCCTCTTCGTTACCATGGTACGCAAACATACGCATGCCATACGCATAGTGGCGGCGACTTCTTGGGCCGTAATGTTAATGGAAGTTAGTCGGCGGAAGAGCACAAGCTGCGGTGCAGGAAGCAACCAGCGTTCCTATGCATGAAATACACCAGAAATGTACCATATTCTACCGGCTTTTCTGCAAGCATTGTTCGCTAAGGGCTATCCCCAGGTCATCAATGTTGGAGGATTAGTGGCCCTTTGGCATGCAATGATTTTCACTATGGTACATGTCACTTAGAGGGCTCTGATCCTGCGAATCGCAATCTTTTCTGCTCAATTATTTCGGCACCAGTATCTGTTCTTGTGTGCGTGCTAAAATTATTGGTTAGATTGTTGGTGTTTTCAAAACGAAAACGACCAGAGTGTAGAATCACTGTGCAGTAGAGAATATCTGTTGCGGGTGGCTCTGCATCAGAGGGTGCCCATGCATGTCTCTCACAACGGTCCAGACCTCGGAAATGCATTACAGTCTCAGTAGATCAGACACATTGTCCGCATGAAATAGTTCACTGGAACAAGATTGAAACCATTTTACAAGCACACAGGTACTTACAAGACGATCTGCGGGTTCTGAGGACGTCCGGCTCTTTAACACTCACTGCCTACTAGTGCTTGCAAGGTACCTGGCGTTAAGGCTCTTTCTGGATATGGAAGGTCCGATAATAGGGATTCCACCGTAGTACTCGTATGAGTATTTTCCCATATGAAAACTCTGAATACCTGTTAGGCTTTTATTTGATGTTTGAACCGGGGCCCTTTCTTTCCTTGAGGACTTGATATCCAGGTCCGAATATTCGGCTTTCAAATTCAAACCCTTCCTTTTCTTTGCAATCCTCTTCAGCCAAATATGCCGTAGCCGCCTTAGTCCATCACACGGCTAGGAAGTATGCATGGCCGTCCCATCGCCTGGCTGCCTTGGAGACAGCCCTGCGCGATCAGTGGCTGACCGCGGGCAATGCTGAAGACGAGGACCATTTGACGCCGGAGCAGTTTGTGAGCATGATGTCAGACGAAGCCGCTTGCAGAAAGGTCTTCCGAAGCGACGGTCAGATGAAGCAGGTATCAGTGGAGCTGGCAGCCATGCGGCCTGCCTGGAGGGTTTAAGCCTGGCTTTCATCCCCGAAATGCATTTGGCTAGTAGACGCTTCAGTGAAATGTCTCTATTTCCCCCTTACTGTTCTCTCCTGAAATTCTGAAGTTATCAAACATTTCCCCCCATAGCGTTGCATTGGTCTCAACAAGCTGCTACTGACGTTGCTCTTTTTCCAGTAGAAGAGTTCTTCAGGTTTACACCTTCATGTACATGGCCACCTAAGTCTTCGGTTCATGGTGGACTCGTTTCCTATAGTCTATATTAAATTTTCTCCCTAGACCTTGGCGAACATTGCTGGAAAATTGCTAGATTCTACTGTAAAGGCATTGAAATCGACACAGCCATGCGAGGCCTTGGGCGGGCAATTCCAATGCACCCTCTTCCTTTTATGGTTACCAACATGATGCATGAAACGTTCTCGCAAAAGTACTACATTTTGGTGCTCTTCCGCCGGATCCACTGTACATGTACATGTCTTTGTCATCGGTTACACATCTTTTCATTGTTTCTTTTCGTCATTTTGCGCTGATTATACATTAAACATACGAGTAAATACCGTACTTCTACTGCTAGCATATAATTATGATCACTTTTACACGAGAATTACGTTGAACTGCGGCTTGGATTGTCGTGCATGGCTTTCAGGAACATTATCTCTACGGGTGTATGTGTATGTGTCATGTACATTTGATAAGTCTGTGCATGGCTATAGCTGCTTGTTTCGACCTTGTTAGGACAGGTACAGTGCTGCCAAATACATGTAATTTTCGCCCACAATCTCACACCCGTGTACCACACATTTTCAGTGTCCAAAATATCGCCCAGAATACCAAGAAAATTCGCTTAGTTGCCATTGTAACCAACATTGCGCCCAGAAGTTCACAGTGAGTGCGTTCGATTACACGCGCGAATCGATTCATGAACCTATTCCCGCTATTCACATCACCCCCTGTGAATAGAGTGAATGGATTCCGCATCGATTCCAGGGCTCATGACATGAAAATCGAACGACTTGAATGCACTTGAATCGATTCATGAATCGATTCAAGTGTGCAATCGAACGCACTCACTGAGTGCGTTCGATTACACGCGCGAATCGATTCACGAATCGATTCATGAATCGATTCGCGCTATTCACATCACCCCATGTGAATAGCGCGAATGGATTCCGAATCGATTCCAGGGCTCATGACATGAAATCGAACGACTTGAATGCATGCGAATGGATTCATGAATCGATTCAAGTGTGTAATCGAACGCACTCACTGTACATCAGGTGACAGGGAGCCCTACACACACCGTGGTACAATGTACAATGTATGTGTAGGGCTCCCTGATGTACATGTACATGATGTACATGATGTACATGCCATCCAGGAGTGTTAGTACTTTATTACTTTGCACCGGGAATTCCCCTACACATACAATGTACATGTGTAAAATTTGATAATAAAAATAAAAATATGTATAATTAATATATGGCTCCCTGCCTTGTACTAGCCTTTTTAGAAGCACATGATGTAGAGTGATTTGTGTGTTCAGTTGTGCTCAAAATTGAAAACACGGGACTTCTGCATAGGAAAGTACTGTCCCTGACATTTTGGCCGGTTTTCGGAAGAGCCTTCAAAATCGAACGCTGCCCGAAAAAGCTTTGACAGCACTGCAGGTGTGCTCAGACTCCGTCAGAGTGACTTTACCCGTCATTAGGTTTGTCTGTTTCGATTTAGCCCTATAAATAGAGAATACAACATAGCATAACCCTACAATAATAGTCATTGATCATTGACATTGCCACAGCCTGATCTATCGCTCCTTTATTTTAATTATTACTCAATCTGCAGACAGCATGCTGTTTAGTTCTTTGTGAACTCATCAGCGCAGCACAGATTATTTTGATTATTATTTTTTTACGAGTGCCCATGAGCTCCAGGTATTTTTCTTTTTATTGAGGAGCAAAAGGATGGTGAGACCTAGTGCACTCGGCTAAGCCAAGGTCTTGCCTCCAATCCCTAGTGAGCTAGATGCAACATGATCACGAACCAGGGAGTCGTAGTACGACTCCCTGTCACGAACCAATAATCATCGCTACTAATTGATCCTTTCTCACTCAGCACACATGCTTCTAGCGCTAGTGAGTCGCTCAGGCTGGTTCACACCGGGATATTCAATGGTGCTCTGTGGGGCAAAGCTAGTTGGCTCACTCGATGGATTTCCATTAACTGGAGGATCGGTTGACATAGAAGAATTATAAAGCTCCCTTTGTATGAGTTTGTAAAAGCATTTTGTAGAGGGATTTACGCGCGCAAAGCCCAAGTTGCGATCATGCAACTTTAGGCACCTAGTGGCCTGCTGCGTTTTCATTCGGTTTTTGGGACCCTTGCATGGAGTTCAAGTAATTAGTTCATCTTTCTCTCCTCAATGATGCCTCGGTTTCCTCGCAGGCAAGTCGTATCGGTTGCAGTGAAGTCGTATCGTGGACTGCGCCGTGAAAGTGCTGCATGTGTCTGTAAGGACTCAAACTAGGCGGCATATAGAAACTTTGCTAATGCGGAAAAGGGTACCGCTCATCCAGTCACGAATTCCGGGAGTCGCGCACACCAGTCTCGAAACTACTCGTACCCCTACGCTGGAAAGGCTACACATCATACACACCGAAGCCGCTGCAAGCACCGCTGGCAGACTCGGCGAAGAGGTATTGGACCCAGCGCCACGGCTAACCTTAGCCTAAATCTAGGTCAAGTCCCTAGTCTAGTGTTTGATGGGTGTCTCTTTCCATAGTACAGCCAAACCGGTCGGTGTGGAGAAGCGCTTCTGATGTTGTCCGCCTTCTTTCTACTCTCGAGTTGTTCTTTCCACCCCCATAACCAGCCGTGTCCTAGATAACTATAGGAGTCAGGAGCTTTGTAAAATGTTTCGCCGCTGGCTCAATGGAGAGAGCTTGTTCAAGGTACTTGACGACATTTCCGCATGCGACTCGGACTCTGGTTGTGTTTTTGTTTAGGGAGAGGTTTTGGTGCGTTCCCTCTGGTTCGGATATTCCTTTTTCAGGAGAAGCAGATCAAACAGGAATGGCACCCCGACAAGTTCAAGGAGGCAGTCAGAGAGGTGCTAAGGAACGAAGATGATCAGGAAGACATTGAGCACACCAAGCGGGTAAGAAGTGTGATCACACCCGACATCCATTCATAACTTTCTATTGGTTTTTTTAATTAAAAAAAAATCTCTTACTCGAGACGCATGCCTTCCCCACATGAAGAGTGAACAAGCAGTAGTAATTCTAATAGTGACGTCGACAAACCAAGGATAGAGTACTGTATGGGGCTGGATAACTATTACTTCGCCAAGTGCTGGTGAAGCATAATAATATTATGAACACTGTCTTGGCAGAGCTACTGACTTCACTGTTCAGCTTGTTGGGCCGTGAAAACACGAACCCTGGCGGAATTCCAATGACCCGGTTTCGTTTGAAGACTGAACTGTTCTGGCAAAAGATGGCCACATGTACAGGAATGGATCGAATTTCATTTTTCAGCCTCTGGAAAAGAGATAGAAAGACTGTGAACACGTTTCAAGGCAACCAAAAAAGGAAGCTGGTTGTGGCGCTGGGCTTCTGCAGTGCCCTGGCGCTATCGTTATCCATGAGGTTGAATTACTCGACAAAAAGTTTCTATTATGATCAGCACAAGGTGAGAACAACAATAGACAAGGAACTCAACGGGCTCAAATGTAATCAGGGCTTGTTGTTATGAAAATGAGTGACTACTACTGCCAATCATGCAAACATGCATGACTGTTGCCAGAGGCAGAGGGTTACTGCCAACCAGCCCTCAGCCTGCATTCAACTGCGAAGAGCATTCGGCTGCGGAGATAGGATGCTCGTGTGCCCCTGAAGCAAGTGGCCGCCCATCGCATTTTAAAGCAGAATGAAAGCTTGCAGCGCGTGTGATTCATCACAACGGAATAATGCAAATCAGCATTCCTCTCCACAACAAGACTCACCAGGGTCTTCCTGAACTCCGAACATTCCCTGCCAACCTTCCCGGAGGTGGAGAAAACCAGGGGCATATTAAAATGAACCGTGGTCGACGGGTGTTACACGCTCTCCATATTGCCTTTTCTTCATTGTCTCGTGGGTTTGCAGCTGACTTACGACTACACTGCACAGTACTTCGTGTGCTGTAATGTTACATCACATTACTCAGTCGGAACACATGCGCTCTGTGATCTCTCTGCTGTGAAAACACTCCTCCATTGTGGCACCAAATGTTCGCATCTGATCCATTATCAGAGAATGAGCGACATCCACCATTTCTGTGCCACGAAATGCGGACATCTAACCTATTTAGCACCGTTGATTTGATCTATAAGAAGGAAAGAGGACCAATGAGCTACAAGTCAGGCTATATTGACCACTAACACCACCAGTTACTTTACACTCAGCTCATGCGATAACATTGCACGACACGACATGACGATAGTCACGATACATTAATCCTTGGTTCTCTACCCAAGTCTAACATTGCGCACCTGTTGATTTGATCATCGCAGTATAAGCCGCAACCCCCTTTTTAAGGGAAATTTAAGCGTTCAAAGTGTGGCTTGTACTCCGGAAAGTATGGCAACAAAACAACATGTTTGCTCTTGGTGTGTGTGTGTGTGTGTGTGTGTGCGCACGTGTGTGTGTGTTTCTATTTCTATCTGTCTATCTGTGTGCATGTGTGTGTGTGTGTGGGTGGGTGTGTCTGTATGTCTGCCCGTCTGTCTGTCTCTCTCTCTCTCTGTCTCTTGCGCTTTCTGTCTCTTGCGGTCTCTGTCTGTCTCTCTCTCTCTGTCTCTCTCTCTCTCTCTCTCTCTCTCTCTCTCTCTCTCTCTCTCTCTCTCTCTCTCTTTCTCTCTCTCTGTCTCTCTGTCTCTCTGTCTCTCTCTCTCTGTCTCTGTCTCTGTCTCTGTCTCTGTCTCTGTCTCTGTCTCTGTCTCTCTCTCTCTCTCTCTCTCTCTCTCTCTCTCTCTCTCTCTCTCTCTCTCTCTCTCTCTCTCTCTCTCTCTCTCTCTCTCTCTCTCTCTCTCTCTCTCTCTCTCTCTCTCTCTCTCTCTCTCTCTCTCTCTCTCTCTCTCTCTCTCTCTCTCTCTCTCTCTCTCTCTCTCTCTCTCTGTCTCTTTCTCTCTCTCTGTGTCTCTCTCTGTGTCTCTGTCTGTCTGTCTGTCTGTCTGTCTGTCTGTCTGTCTGTCTGTCTCTCTCTCTCTCTCTCTCTCTCTCTCTCTCTCTCTCTCTCTCTCTCTCTCTCTCTCTCTCTCTCTCTCTCTCTCTCTCTCTTTGTCGCTCTCTCTCTCTCTCTCTCTCTCTCTCTCTCTCTCTCTCTCTCTCTCTCTCTCTCTCTCTCTCTCTCTCTCTCTTTGTCGCCCTCTCTCTTTCTCTTTCTCTATCTCTCTCTCTCTTCTATTTCTCGCTCTTACTCTCTGTCCTTTTAATTTCTTTGTCGTGCTGTGTTTCTCCCTCGATACAGCTCCAGGCCTGCATGGACCGTGTCAAGCAGTACTCGTTGACACAGGGCAGCAATCGTCTCACCAGGGACACATTTCCCGGCCTGATGACCATGAAGGATTACGGTCCCCTGCGTATCGCGTTCATGGGCCGGCCCAACACTGGAAAGAGTCACACTGCAACATACTGCGGCTGTTTGATCAGGCAGCCACTGAAGAGGTCAGCTTCTCGTAGAGACTAGCTATCTGCATTGTGCTGCTGCTATCACATCCCTTCTGCAACACTAGTAACTACACTACCATCGAGTGCAGAAGAACTGGTGGGGGGGGGGGGGGGGAGGGGGAGGGGGGGGAGGAGGGGGGGGCTGATCCTACTCTGTTTCCCCTGATTACAGGTTACACTCAATTAAGAGCAGGATGTCACACTCAACTGTCAGCCACAACCCCTTCTTTAACCTGAAGTTTCACATAAAAATGCGCAATTCTTACCCTAAGAAATCGGTTATCCAGAAATAAGGAGGAAAAACCTCTTCGTAAGATTCTGGACTTGAAGCTTTATGGTGTGCGTGTCTGCATTGTGCTTTATATTCTGAATGTTGACCACCCCGTGGTCTGGTTCCTTCATTCATGCAGGTGTTTTCAGCGGGGGAAGGAGACGCAAGGGTGCGTGAAACAACGTTGACAACCGACTCCAATGGGGAGATCATTCTACGCAACAGTCGAGGTAGTGGGGAGAAGCTTGGACTCGACTCGGAGGTTCTCGTCTTGGAGGCCATTCTCACCAACAAGCTTCACGCTAGCGACGAGTGCTACGAGGAGAAAATTCGCCACAATGACAACAGTCCCATGGCCGATCAATGCCACGGTGTGATTTTCATCATCACTCCACGAGGGTGTGGCGAAGAACCCTCCCCCAAGCCCGGGAGTCACACAGAGGAATCATTTTGGAGTGGCTTCCAGCCACTTCTCAAGCAACTGGGTACGTGCTGTGTAGGAATTGTAAAGAACATATTGAACGGTCGCTGTTTTGATGATGACTGCGCCATAGCTTAGTGGTAGAGCGGCACTGGCCATAAACGAGGGTTCCCAGTTTGAGTCCTGGAGCCGAAAGTCAATGTTTTCTTCAGCCTTTTCCCGTTTGCAACTTTCCCTCAAACCAAGGAATGTAGCAACTGCCCATACACAATGCTCATGTGTAGAGGTAGCTTGGAAAGAATTCATGGTTTTCGTGAGATAGAAGCCAGACTGAGTGTTCCGTATCTGCAGTGTGTGCATTGCGTGAGAGATATCATCATGATATGTGTGGCAATGTTTTTAAGACTAGTGCTAGTTTTCTACCGTATCCAAAGCATAGTACTGCTGGTATTTAAACACACGGCGAGGAGACAATAATTTGATAACCGCAATCAATAAAACTAGCTGAACCGACATTTGTGTACTTTATTCATGCAATGTAAAAACGGTGGAGACGATGTGCAATAAAACGATGAAAATATGAAGAAATGGTGTAGGGAAAAAAACTGCTAGTATTGCTAGTATATTATTATTTTACTTGCGTATATCCAACAGGCCTATGGCCTTCTTACAGGGCACATACATTATTAATGATTTGTTGTAGTGAAAGACGTGCACTTGTGTTTCACACATATCCCAGTGATGGAGAACTGTATGATCTCTACTAGGAACGTAGGCGGTTGGTATACTCAATGCTTACTTTGAGTCGCCTCGTAGCACGTAAAGTGCGGAGGTACAACTTCAAGGGTGATGTGTCCTCACTAACCTCGAGTCTACTGGTTTGTGATGTGGTACGGTCAGTTGCTGTCTTCTGTACACATGTATATAATGTAATCAGACCAATTTGAGAGGCTGCTTTTTTGCTAGCAATGGTTATCTCCTGTCCTGTAGCAAACAACTGTGCAGCAAGATGTGTGCCAGCATAGACACAAAAAAGCACACACACACACACACACACACACACACACACACACGCACACACACACACACACACACACACACACACACACACACACACACACACACACACACACACACACACACAAAGTGGTCTTTCCTTGGTGCCATTAATGGCCAATGGTGAAAGATTTTCACGTACTATTTTCAGCTATGCATTTGCTCGACAATTTTGCTTCTCCTTGTTTCCAGATCTTTGTCCGGTCACCTGCGTGACACACATCCGAGAGGGAGATCCGCCACATGACTTGCTGGAAGGCTGGAAGAATGTTCCTCATGCAACACAGCTTGTCGGTTCATCCCGAAACAACGTGTTCCCCATCGAGAACATGCATCCGATGACAGACAAGACGGCAGTGTTGAAGCGCCTTCGTCAGGAGCTGCTCCTTGCGCTGTTGGAGGTTATTTACCAGGCTGAGCAGCGGCTGCACCGAATCGAGTTAAGGACCCTGAGAGAGACGGATCGCAGCGCATATGTCAAAACACAACGTGAGTCCTATCTGTCCTCTCATCAGAAGATCGTTTTGCTGCATTATCTTCTAATGGTCTACCTTACTGATAAGTTGTAGCGACTTTGGCGTTGATTTCTTAGGAGAGGGTTTGCTCACCACACTGGAGCTCGCGCTTTCCCCGAAACACTGTGGGTTGAGCATTTAGTGGTGCTGTCTTGCAGGTTTGCAGCATGCAAAATGAGGAGGGGAAGGTGAGCACAACCAAGACAAGCTCGAGCTGAAAGTCTTAGCTGTGAAGGACGTTGGCGGATGTTCATGCATGTCGATGACGATACTGGCAGGACCACTGGACAATACTCCTGTTATTTCTATAGCTTAGAACCTTCTAAGTTGGAACGCTGTTGGAGTGCGCATCCAAGATATGCTAGAGCTGTGAGCCAGTTAGTTGGAGAACGTCAGTACCGTCGGTCAGTGTCGTGCAATGTTATCGCATGAGCTGATTGTTTAGTAACTGATGGTGTTAGTGGACATTATAGCGTATTTTGTAGGTTCTTGGTCCTTTTTATTTACATAACACGGGGTAAACATATTGTACTGATAAACTACAGACGAGAACTATGAAGTGGAAATCTACACAACAAAAGGGAACAGACACATAATTTACTTTTACTTTTACCAATGAATAATGTGTGTATAGTGAGGATTTTATGCCCTATACAGTAAAACCTGGTTAAAGCGACCACCCAACGGTGCAAGCAAAAGTGGTCTTTAAAGCCACATGGTCTTTAGAACCAGGTCCCACAGTGTCTGTGTAGAACTGTCGGTGCATGGACAAACGGTGGTTAAGAGCAGGTGGTCGCTAAACCCAGAGGTCGCTTACACCAGGGTTTACTGTAGTTCCAACAACTGTACTGGCCATTGCTTCATGTCCAATGGTATTTTCTCGTCGGTGTTGACTGCCTTCGTTCCTTTTACCCTTACTAGCCAAGTACGCCGTGGCCCGGTTCATTCACAGCACAGCTGAAAAGTATGCTTGGCCATCGCATCGTGTGGCGACGATCGAGAATGCGCTCCGTGACCAGTGGTTGGCCCTGGGGCTGGCGCGGGATGAGGACTACTTGACTCCGGAGCACTTCATTCGTATGATGTCGATGGCGGCCGTGTGCCAGAAGGTGTTCAGGTCAAAGTCTCAGCTCAAGCAGATTGCCGCCGAGTTGGACAGCTTCCGACGTTGCTGGAGGGTGTGATGACGACTAGTTGGCGATGATGTTCATGCGGAATTCATTTCACGTCACACTGCACTGGTATGGCACTCATTGCGTGATCCGCTCACGCCGTGCCCACTGCCCAGACCGTAACACGCTAGGATTTAATGCTGATTACGAGTTCATATCTACTAATACGCTTCTACTGCTTTTCCTATGCCATATACGGGCAAGTGTACATGTAGTGTGTGTGCATGGTGCCCGATCCATGTTTTCTGCCTATGCCCCTGTCGCGTCATCTGCAGCTGTAGTCGCTCCGGAGGCATCCACTGTGGCTGACTGGATATTGTATGAGGATTTGAATGTTGTTTGATTGCTCGCCATGGCCCGGTTTTTCTTTTGTTTCCCCGGGCCTTTTTTGAAGTTATTTGGAGCAGCTGGCCCAGTTTCTGCTTTGTTGGGTGATTTTGCCCGTAAAAGAGGCCATTTCACTTTGAGGGTCCATGTTTGAAATTGTGATTGTCGTTGTTTTCTCGATTATTGCTTTGGATTTCGTTTCTACATTGCCTTGCTTTCCACCTTTTTGCTATCCCACCTTTGTGTTCTATCCAATAAAGCCTTAAAGGCGTTGTAGACGATGTTGTCATTATTGTTATCGCCTGCCATCTTATGATGACCAGTTGGCTAGGGTTCACTTACACATGCAAACGGCTTGGAGAAAGTCATCCCTGGGCCCTCAGACTGATAATCATCATCAACCTACGCATTCTGTTACCACGGCTGCATCCTTCCCTGGGAAGGTTCGAAACTTCCAAATGCCCATACTACACTCACTGCACTACACTCTTTGTGTGCTCTACACTCTTTCAGTGTCGAAAACACGCAAGTACTTCTACATTATACATCCTCACATTTAGTGTTGTCTCACTGTAAAGTTGTGTTGGCTAGTTCATGCACAAGTACGAGTACAGTGAGACCTGTCTAAAGCGACTGCTCAAGGGACCATCAACGTGTGGTCTCTGTAACCAGGTTGACTCGCTGCACCAGTCACACTCCATAACAGCTAGAAGTTGCTCCTGACAAGCTTTGTTTCGTTCCATTATGATATTTGACGGACCTACTGAAGATGGCATCAACAGAATGACTGGCAGTCATGTCGCTATGGAAGGAACTGGTGATGCTTGGCGTCCCGGAGAATCTAATGTACACTGCACATGTACGCACACATACATGTACAGTGAGCAATATTGCTCTTGAAGAGACTAGCAGCAGATAACAGAGAAGCATTTTTTGCCATAAACATGGTCAAATGCCATGCCTGATTAAAAACGGAAACAATATCGATGAAATCTACACATACATGTAACTATGATGTTGCTATGCAGTTTCTATGGTAACCGAGTACAATATAAAGACACGGCTTTTCAATACCTTGCAGGCTTCAACCTCTTGCGTCCTGATATGATAACATCAAATTAACTTTTTATGACCTACTTTGTGTCCTCGACACCGAGCACGGCTAATGTGAGTTTAGGTTGCGCGGAAGAGGTGGGAGCAACGCTGGACCTTTCGGTCATGTGGCTCGCGGAGTATCACCATGCCCGCGGCGAGAGCGTTCTCCACAAGCAAATACAAAGCCCGTGTTCTAGTTACTAGTGCATTGTACAAGTAAAATTATTGCATTTTATCAGTTTCCGATTTCAAGAGATCTACTATTGTACATTCGACTGTACTGTACCCGTAAGGGTGATGTGCAGACATTGTTATGATTTCCCACCTTCCAAACCGGCAAATATTTAGATTTTGATAAAACGATTCAAAGCCTGTCAATTATTTCGTAATACTTGAAGTATAAATATAAGAATAAGTATTTGTTATCCCATGGTTTCTGCGGGCCTTATGGCACTATTTCAAGACCAAAGCTCATGAACGTGCTGGAGACTATTGTGAGCCGGGACGAATTACATCTTATTCAGTGCTTACTTACGGATACCACCATTAAAGTACGGCTAAACAACATCCTGAGCCAGCCACTTGAAACATACAATGGGACTCCACAGGGAGATTCTCTGTCGCCGGTATTGTTTACGATATACCTGGAAGCTGCGTTAAGAGAAGTACGAAACCGTCTACCGCCGCGACCAGACCGAGACGTCCAGCTGCTTCTGCCCAGAGAGTCGGAATATGCAGATGATGTGGACTTCATCAGTACCGACCAAAAGTATCTAAAAGATTGCCTTCCTACAATATCCTCTTCGTTAGCAGAGTGGAACTTGAAGATGAATGAGGGGAAGACGGAACACACCATGATAAGCAGACAAAAGGATCGAATAGAGGAACAGTGGCGACACACAATAAAGCTGGGCTCGATGCTTGGAGTGGATGAGGACATAGGCAGACGAAAGCGGTTGGCTACAAGCGCACTTCACCGGATGTGGGTGATATGGCTGAGAGGGCAACACATCAGAGAGTCTCTACGAGTGCGCCTCTATAATAGCTTCATTCTACCAATCCTGCTTTATAACTGTGGCACGTGGAGTCTCACGGGGACACAGGAGCGGAAATTCCACAGGCAGCAGCTGCGAACAGTGATAGGCATTAAATACCCGCTCATAATAAAGAACACTTCCCTGTATAAACGCACAGAATCTCGCCCCGTGAGCCAAATCATCAGAGATGCTAGATGGAGGCTGTTTGGTCATGTGCTGCGTTTGGAAGAGGCAGCCCCAGCCAGACGTGCCATGGGAGCTTACTTCTTAGGGGGTAACGGCCCCAGCTTTAGGGGACGCCCAAGAACAACGCTCCCGCGAACGCTCAATAATGATCTTAAAAAGCTGAAAAATAATACCGCCCTAGAGACTGGCGATGACTTGAACATGCTGCAGCAGCTTGCCCAAGACCGTCGACAGTGGCGGGAACTGGTGAAGGCTGTATGTAGCTGCTAATGAAACAATGGACATAATTTATACCTTTATATATAGATAATGGAGATGACTGCAACAGGCTGCAGCAGCTCGCCCAGGATCGCCCTCAGTGGCAGGACCTGGTGAAGGTTGTATGTAGCCGCTAATGCAACAATGGACATAACTTTGCGTTTCCATCTTGTCTTTTTTGTGATTGTGATGCTTGATGTGCACTGTGCTTCCTCGCATTCACTTGCTCCTTCTTGCAGCTTGTCTCTTTTTTTCTGTTTTTCGTTTTGTTTTGACGCTCTGTGTGCATTGCGCTTTCTCGCGCTCACTTGCTCCTTCTTGCGGCTTAAGCGAAGGCTATATGTGAGCTTTATAAGCTCACTGATGCTAACGCGAATAGAGCATAATAATAATAATAATAATAATTATGGCATATTATTGCCCCGAGAGGTTAGCCCGAGGGCCGTAGATATATTATTGCCAACGAGAGGTTAGCCCGAGGGCCGGAGATATATTATTGCCCCGAGAGGTTAGCCCGAGGGCCGTAGATATATTATTGCCCCGAGAGGTTAGCCCGAGGGCCGTAGATATATTATTGCCCCAAGAGGTTAGCCCGAGGGCCGTAGATATATTATTGCCCCGAGAGGTTAGCCCGAGGGCCGTAGATATATTATTGCCCCGAGAGGTTAGCCCGAGGGCCGTAGATATATTATTGCCAACGAGAGGTTAGCCCGAGGGCCGTAGATATATTATTGCCCCGAGAGGTTAGCCCGAGGGCCGTAGATATATTATTGCCCCGAGAGGTTAGCCCGAGGGCCGTAGATATATTATTGCCCCGAGAGGTTTAAAATAGCCCGAGGGCCGTAGATATATTATTGCCCCGAGAGATTAGCCCGAGGGCCGTAGATATATTATTGCCAACGAGAGGTTAGCCCGAGGGCCGTAGATATATTATTGCCCGAGATTAGTCCGAGGGCCGTAGATATATTATTGCCCCGAGAGGTTACCCTGAGGGCCGTAGACATGCTACCACAAAGAGTTTCTACATGTTTACATGTGTATCAGGAAGTTGTCAAATACAGTACTGCAAGTATTTGCCGACTCCCTGGTGTGAAATTGTGAGGACAACTTTTCTTCTTCTTTTCAGCTAAAAATAGCTGTATTTTTCATTGCAAAACATTCCTGAATTGTTGTGTTTGTTGTTCAAGCAAATGTGAAGCCAGAGGACAGATGAGCTTGGTAAGAGTTTCGCGTGGCACAGGAAGACCACACAGAGGCAATGACTTTGCGAGGATCTGAAAAGGCACGATGCTGAGTTGAATTTGCTATTTCAAATAATTGTTTGTGATCACAGTACCACATCGAACAGAACTGAATCCTATCCACAAGCTTACCGACGGTCAGGCTGCCAACATGACTGAACAAAATTAATGATCTCTGCAAGCACCACACGGCAAAGGTCGAAGGCCATGTCCATTGCCGGGACGTCCATTTCCAAAAAGCATCTTCGTCTCGATGCTGCACACTGCATGCGACTCGTCGTAGAGTCGTGGATCTACAGTGCACAGAGTCGTATACGCGTAGTCACGCAATCACTGAAATAAACTATTTTTGGGGGCAATATCGTATAATATTATTGGCCGCAGCGGGAAAGGTGCTGATTCGCTGGAGTACGGGCAACAATCACGTGCCATGTGATAATATTATAGCTATACTTTCACAAAAAACAAGCTCGGTGCAGCACTAATCACGGCTGGGGAACCCTACCCTCCACCATCACCAACTCACGAAGCATGTGAACTGGGCGGTGACGGGCCGACCGAGCACCCCTACCCTGTCCTGACACACAATACAGCGGAATGTAGCAGCGCGAAAGACACTCGACAGCGATAGTATCCCATGAACGACGAATAGCTACCTCCCGAAGATTGACATGTTAGCAAGCAAAGGCGCCTGAGGAAGGCCGTCGATGCCGGCGCAGCTGCCAGCTGCCCCTTTCACGGGAAACACTAAAGGTGCAAAGGCACCACGCTCAACATTCACTACTCTCTCCTGATATTGAAGTTTCTTAGCGCCTTCATGTTGCCGGAAGAGCGCGTCCAGGCTTCTGGACGCATAGGAAGAAGCGTCTTACATCAAAAAATGCATCTTGCCCACGCCTCCAGAAACCTCGAGCGCTCCCATCAAGGCGAGCCTCGACAGCGGTGTTCGCTGACCTGGCCTGAAAAACCTCACCCTGGACAGGGGCGAGAGGTGGCTCTACAGACACACTGGAGCAAAACTCGGTCAAGGCAACAGCGAACAGACCTCGTAGTTCATTATGTCGAATAGTTGGGAATCCCCCAAAAGCACAATTCAAAGCATGGCTAGTGAAAAACCCGCCCTACAAGCACACACAGCGGGGGTGTCACGCCGCGGCCAGTCACAGCGTAACGCAATGGTATGGCGAAAGTCTCCCTTGGATAATTCAAAACCATGCTCAGCGATAGGGAGCGCCGACAGCCATGATGAAACACCTGGGCGGCCCAGTTCTTCCACGCGACGATTAACTTCCAAAGACAGGTGCGATTGAAGAGCACGCAAGCGCAGTGTCTGCTCTAGGATTGTAGGACAGCCAGGTACACGTGTACCTGGCGCAACCATTTCAACCGGGTTGGAGCCGGGTACACATGTACCTGGCGCTGTCTCACCAGCCGAGTCACATGCTTTAACTGGTTGGTTGGTTT